AAGAGAGCAGCAGCAGCAAATGCAGCGATAAAAATAATCAATCCATCGATAAGTGTTCGGAAATTTGAGCATATAAAAAAATAACGTTGTACTATTGGCGAGAAAGTTCAATAACAAGCAAAAACTAATAATTGAGAACCTATCAATAATTAATGATTTTGTTGGCAAGTCCTAGTCTAGTAATACCGGCAAACTATTATATTAATAGTGTGAGTTCTATTTTTTTGCAGACAGCCGGTCTTTTATGACAGTGTGTATGAATTTGCTAGTGTCTTGATAACATAAAGCACATGGATACATAATGGAAATCACATGCATCCAATTAACGTAGTAGAAGTACAAAGACATAGCAGTGTTTTGTAGCAAAAACTGCAAAACTAACTGAGTTTACTATCTTGATAAATGTGGGAAAAAATTATATTATATTTAGCCATGTCCGTTTGTCTGTATATGCTCGTACACAAACTAGTCCCTTAGTTTTTGAGATATCGGTCTGTAATTTTGCATACGTTCTTTTCTACCTATGAAGTTGCTCGGTAAGGCAACGGTATGATCTCTGAAGAAATGGTTCAGATCGGACTACTATAGCATATAGCTGCCATACAAACTGACCAATCAAAATAAAGTTCTTGTCTGGAAAACTTTTTCATTTGACAAGATATCTTTACGAAACTTGGCATTGATTAGTATCCAAAGCAACGCTATAATATCCGAGCATATTGTGTTATAGTGCATTCAGATCGAGCAACTGTAGCGTATAGCTGTCATACAAACTGCTCGTTTCAAAACAAGTTTTTGTATCAAAAACAATTTTTATTTGACAAGATATCTTTACAAAATTCGCCATAGATTATTGTCCAAGGCAACACTACAATCTCCAAGCATATTGTTCCGATCGAACTGCTGTAGCATACAGCTGTCATACAAACTAAACGATCAAAATCAATATTAAGATTGTTTTATACACTTTAAAGGGTATTATAGCTTCGATGCCGCCGAAATTAACGTTTTTTTTTTGTTTTTATTAAAATAGTACTGTATTTTGTTTCGAAATTAAACAAAAACTGTCTATATGGCATGTTTTCCGTTATTTTTAGTGAATTGCTAAAGTGACGTCATACATATACGACATTAACTACAGTCTAAATTTAGCTATCAGACATCTAGCTTTGTAACTTCTATAATATACAGTACTAGATGTGTATACTTTGAATATATTTAGAATTTCAGCAATGCACAACAAACAAAACGCACAGAAACAATAATGTCGTAAACAATAAAATAAATAATTCTCTGTCTAATCATTCGTACCCCGGAAAATGCACGCACCACACGCATTCACTAATTTTTTTCCTTTAATTTGTAATTGTGCTAAATTGTCAGCAGACCGAGCGATGGAAATGTGAGCGCCGTGATCCACGCGATCGGCAAACAATCACACACACATATATATATATATATGCAAGTACTAAATTTCATAAACAAGCAGACTGACTGACAGTGTTTTTTTTAAGTTTAACCAACGCTATGTCTTTTAGTCTCTTCTTTGCTTTTACACATATTCTTATTTGCTCTTCGTTGTCTCCCGTTTTGCATTGTATCTACAGAGATACTAAAGTATCTGCCTCTTCATAGACTTTGTTGTCTGTCTTCCTGCCTTTATAGCAGCATATTTTGCTTTACTGTTCTATGCCTCATCTTTTGACTTCAGCTTTCTTTGCACATTTGTGTTTATCTATGTTTCTAGCCTCAAACGCTTATTGCGGTGCTTCTTTAGCTTCTACTACTTGTCTTATACATTTTCCAGTTAATGTTCGTTGATATGATGAGCTGATGACCTCACCTTGATTCTTGTTTACGTTTCGCTTTCCTTTTGTTGTCTTTTCTGCATTATTCGTTGCTTTTTCTTGGTGAGCGAGCCGCTTGTCGCAATGTCTATGCAAATGCGGATGTACTACGTGTGATCGCTTTTGTTGGTGTCAAATTTGTGAATTTCGATTTTCAACTGTAAATTTTGTTATCTTGTAAGTTAAGAGTATAAAAATCTGTTTTTATTTATTTCAAGTAAAATATTTTAGCACCTTTGATCAGTTTTGCATGGTACAGAATAAAGTGAGAGAGAGCTCTCGAACATATCACTCACTTTTACTACTTTCCGATTCATACAAAGTTAGTTCGCCGAGATAACAACCCTCGGCTGGAGACGCTTATGTCGATCATGTAGTCCGAAGTAACGTTAAAGACCTCGGCTGAGAGAAGATGAATATTTGGCGACAACTTGGATACAAATTTAGACCATTCAATTCTTCCCTTTATCTAAGCTTTGAAGTATATTACTTCATCATAAACATCACCAGAGAACATTTCGAGGTTTTGTGAAGGTATTTTGGGTCCTCTTTATAAGATGGGATACAATTTTTCTCGCACTGCTTCTTTTAAACTAAGTTTGGACAATTTTTTGTTATGTATGTGTGTACCTATTTAATCTCTATATGTCAAATTTTACATGAAAAAAATTAGATAACGAATTTGCTTTAAATTTTGTGTGTTTCAAGGGAATCACGGCTACATTAATCGTTGTAAATGTTGCAATAGTGTTTTGGGGAGTCTACTTTATCACGAACGAAAGTATTTGAGTGGCACAAAGCATTCAGTGAAGGTTGTGAAGTTATGAAACTTGAAAAAACCTTGCCTCATGCGAGTCCACCAACCAGCTCTGTTAATGACGATAACATCGCAAAAATTAGTGCAACGCAGTTCAATAAACGGATATTTACTGTTGACGAGTTGTGGATTCATGAATGTGACTTCGTAACAGTCCAACAAACTAGCGATCACATCAAATTCGGTGAAATAAAATCTAGGTGGTGCTCATCGTTTTGTTTGATTACCATGATGTGGTTCACTATAATTCGTTCGACAGGGTAAAACAGCCAATAAGGAATACTATTAGAGGATTCTACATGAAGTATATGTCATTCGTAGTAAACGACAGGATTTATAGGCAGAAAATTCATGGATTTTTCACTACCTCAATGCGCCGTCAAAATCTAGCATGATTGTGACTGACTTTTTGGCCAAACACAAAACGAGTGTCAACGCTCAGCCATTCTATACGCCAGATTTAAGACATAATATAATAACTGATAGCCATTTTCAGCATATTATGTGTATAATTTCGACTGAAATAAGTAGTATTTCTACTCACCAAAACCGGAGTTCATTTCCCCGCTACCACTTGGTGGAAAAACGAAAATAAAAATTTTATTGTAAAGCGTCAGACAAATGGACCATTTCGTAGCTATTCAAAAGGCAACGAACCAATTTGCAGTGCATAAAGAGACAACAGCGCATCACAACATAATAATAACAGAAAGCCAATATAGCGAGAAGAGCAAACTGTTCCACTAAGTTATTGACATTCAAAGTACCGAACTTCGGTGTTTTGGGGCCGAAGAAGAATGTACGTACATATGTACGTGCGTACATGGCTCATATTTTGCCAGCAAATTTTATTGCACCGTGCCATTTAATTTTCTTACAGATTGTTGCTACTGAAGCTGGAGCTGGAACTGGAGCTGTCAAGAATGCGGCAGCTCCCGATGTGTTGTGGCTGAGGGGCAACATTCACCAACTCGGCTGCGTCATTTTTAGCTAACAAAAGCAAAACTAAACACTTTATGACGGAATTTACTTCAATTTAACACAGTCAGCGTGATTGGAATGCGAACGCTTCCATTAACAGAAGGCGGGTACTGTCTGCATGATATGTATACACATATGTATATGTATGTATATGTATGTATATGTGGACGAGCTTTTATTTACAGTGCAAAAAATAGATTACAACATGATTTTTAAAATTTTGTACCTGAACTAAAGCACTTTCAATAAAAATATGAAAAATACAGATTCGTTTTTTCGGGCTGCAATCGGCTTACGCTGCTGGTAAAGCAGAGCTGAAATTTAAAACTCAAATATTAACAATTCAAAATTATATTAACAAATATAAGTTCTAGTAAAAAAGTAAAAAACTTTTACAATAAATAGCTTCAGTAATCTATAAATCGCGTTATATAACAGCGATCGGGTTTCGCTATATGGTGTTAGAATGATAAGCTGTCCTACTAAAACAGCTTCTCAAATAGTTTTGTGATTGCTTGACTCAGTATTATTATTATGAGAAAATACGTTATATTTTACAATTTTTCTTCTTTTTGGCAGGAGCTGCTACCCTAAGGTCAAACTCTTGACTTCAACTGAACCATCTGCAGTAAGCCATTGCCCAGTAGCGGTCGGTTTTGGTCAGAACAAGGTCGGGTCATATACATTGGTTCAATTGCCACATTCGATTAAAGCTCTATGCGCTTGGTTGAGAGGCCTTATAGTGCGCATCTCGCACCACCGTGAAAATTCGAGAATCTCGTGAAAATCGACTGCCGCATTGTTTTTGTCAGTAGGGACGAGTGTTTCTATGAGAGTGGCGTAATGATGGCACAAAGTTATCAACCAAAACGGTGCATATTTGACCTAAATCGAACCATTCTAACTATGCTAAAAATAACCTTGAATTTAAGGGGGTATTATGGGAGAGTGTTGAGTTTCAATAAAATCTATTTTTTTTCATATTTTCAAAGTTTAACTATTTAAGAATATGTTTACGAGAGGATTTTTGAAAACTTAAATTATTTTCGGAGATAAAAACATTTTACTGACCCGGCCTCTAAACTGGTTCGGCTGGGTTTTCCTCAGACCAGACTTTTTCAATACGATACCCACGATTTCTCGAGTTCTGCCTGACCGATTTACTAGAAATTTTCATAGCATCTTCTTTATAGATCTCTCTCGATTAGGAACTAGCCTCATCACCAAAAAAATACGAGAAAATAAAATAAGGTAAAAAATAATCTTTTTTTTTTTTAACAGTAGCCATTTTGTCGCTAGAGTTCATACAATTGCGACATCATTGCAGATTGATAATCTTTTTTTTTTCATTTCAGATAACTAGGAGGGCTGAAATCATGTGTATGCTCATCCGCCAATTTTTTGCGACTCCCACTTCATCAGCTGCCAGTTTTTTTTTACTTTTTTACTTTTATTTTAAATTTGTTTCTGTACTTTAGTAACATTAATAAATTACTAATAAAAAAAATTAGATGTTAAAAATATTTTTTGCCTTTAATTTACGACACTTTAAAAATTACGTAGGGGGTATTAAGGGGGTTTTATACCTTAATACAAAAGTAGTGGACTCCTTTTTACTAAACCATATATATTACATAATTTCCTTTCTGCGAAACACTGTATTTAAGAGTAGTTTACGCTGAGAGCAACGTACAACAGCGAACAAGCATTGATTGGTGGTCTTGTTTGATCTTGATTTGCTACGTTCTTGCGAGATGCGTCATTTTAAGTTTACTAGCGCATAACCTTAAAGAAGTGCAAGAACAAAAAACATTGTCGTACACATACATACATATATACATAACGCTGTAGTTGCAGTATTTGTGTGCAGCGAGAAAGAATTTGTCGGCTTGAGGGTTAAAAGTACTATATCTATGTATGTGCTTATAAATTTAACTATTTATTAAAAGCTCTTGCTTATTTTACAGTTTTCAGGTATAATGACATAAATGAAGGTAATATTTTATGCTACTTATATATTAGCCGGCTATGCGTGTAAAGCGTGAGCACTTTCAATGATGACGTCACCACAACTGTTGTTTATATAACAACCGAGTAAGGAGGAATACACTCAATGAATAAAAAAAAGCTGTTTCTATAAGTAAGGGCCATCAGAAATTGCTGTTCTGTTGAATTTACTTCACTTGTGTTTACTTATTTTGATCGGTTAGTCAGTTTGTATGACAGCTATATGCTATAGTAGTCCGATTTGAGTAATATGCTCGGATATTGTAGGGTTGCCTTGGACAGTAATCTATGCCAAATTTCGTAAAGATATCTTGTCAAATAAAAAAGCTTTTCATACAAGCACTTTATGCCGATCGTTCAGTTTGTATGGCAGCTACATGCTATAGTGGTGCGATATCGGCAGTTCCAACAAATGAGCAGCTTCTTGGGGGGAAAAGGAAGTGTGCAAAATTTCAGATCAATATCTCCAATATCTAGATACTACTATAAAATATAAATGTTAATTCTCGCAAAATCATTAAGAATAATTAAGACTTTTCATAAACCTTAAAATAGAAAATTGCTTAAGTTTCCCAAATTTTGTATTAATTACTAACACTAGAACGCTTAACAGCAAATTGTCTATAAATTATTAAACATTACACTCGTAAATGTTTCAACTCTCCGAAGCGATATCTGCAGTCATGCTGAGACTCAATATGCCAGTAATATTTATTGAGAGCCCAGCCCTATTGTATTTTTGCAGCCGCTACTCGGCCTCGTTTATCGTTTGCTGGTCGTTGATTGTTTGTTTTTGTTGTTGTTACTGTGGCTGTTTCTGTTGTGTTGATAACAACCCCCTGATATGGCTGTGACATGACCTGCTGTGGATTGCGACTACAGCGATGGCAAATCGCTGATCGTAGTCGCAATTAAATGCGGGCGGGTGTTTCTCATATATATGTATATACATACATATAGATACATAAATACATATGCAACACATACATATATAATATATAAACGCTGCACTGTACTCCCATTGTCGCAGTGCTGGAATCCTGCTTGGCGTTGATGTTCGTGCTTGAAGCATGCCTTGCTGCATAACATTCTTCGCTTGACGTTAGCTCAATTTCCGTAGACAAATGGCGTACGGCTAGCGGACGTACAGCGTGTGAGTGGGGTGTTATTTGCATTGCTGTTGCCGCCGTTATTGCATGTTTTATAGAGATTGTCAGCAAATGGGGTTATTCGCGTTGAATACACACATACGGATGCATAATGAATGAATGCACATATGTTTACTTCAATGTACAGTTAACTGAAGAAATGTTCAGCTCTTAAATAGTCATTTATTTTGTGCTTTGAAATGTTATGAGTACTTACATTTAACTTCACGTGACATAAATATTTCAAATAAAAATGTAAAAACAGTTCGGAAGCACATCTTGTGGGAAATTCAAAAAAAAAAAAACAACTTTCTACATTTCGATAGGTTATAACTTTAAAATAACATACAAATAATTTAAATCAAAATAATTTTTGAGTTACAGCCACAGCTCAGTTCAATCAGTCAATCGAAGAATTTATCTTAAAGGGGGTGTTCCAGTGTTGAATTAAAAAAAAATAGATTTTTTTCATATTTTCAAAGTTTAACTTTTTAAGAATATGTCCACGAGAGGATTTTTAAACATTTAAATTATTTTCGGAGATATAGACTATTTAAGAATATGTCTGCGAGAGGATTTTTGATTTCGAGGATAAATTTAAATTATTTTCGGAGATTTTTACTGACCCGTCCTCTAAACTGGTGCCACTTGGTTCAAATCGAACAAAAGACTTTACGCGAAACTTTAAATGCGTCTTTCTCAGACCAGACATATTCAATACGATACCCACGAATTCTCGAGTTCTACTGAAATTTTCAGAGAATCTTCTTTATATAATAAATCTCTCTCGATTAGGAACTAGCCTCATCACCAATTTTTTTACTATTTATAAAAAATACGAGAAAATAAAAAAAAGGTAAAAAAATCGTGTTTATGTAGCTTTGGAATAATAAAAAGTTTGAATAAAATATGTAATTTTCTATGTGAAAAAAAAAAAAATTATTGAAAATAGGCCGTTTTTTGGCTTGAGGAAATCCATGTAAACCCTTAATATGGGCTTAAAATTTTAGCACAATTTATCAGGTTTTTTTTTTAATTCCCAAAACTGCCTTTTTAGGCTTGGTATGCCCACTTTCACTCATATTGTTTTATTGCTTTGATGACACAATTTCTCTCATATTTCTCAAAACTGGTCGCATCTGTGCGATTGCTTCCTTCAGACGGTCCAATTATTGACGGTACAAATTAATAGTTTGGTAATAGGGGAGCAAATCATAGCAGCTAATTCTCTGCCAATCCCACCAAATACATAGCAAAACCCTTCTAATGATCTTCCTTGATTTCCCAAATCCAAAACATCAGTCCAACTCTGTACCACGAAAAACATCGCCATATCATGATATTACCAGCGCCGTGTTTGAAATTTTGTCGTGTATCGGGCATTCATTTCTGCATTCTTCGGACGTCAATTTTCTTTTCAACGCTACCTACCATTTTTATTTTATATTCATCGGACCAAAGGAGCTTACGCCACCTTTTGTATTTTTCCAACGATGCAATTGATATGGGCTGAAGCAAAAGCAATCCGACTGTTCCGCTATCTTTTTGTCAACATTGGGACTTTCATGGACAACCTACAGTTTTTTTTTCTAAAGGGCGACGCGCAACAATTCCTAAAGAATTTTTTACCCACAATTCTCTTTGTATAGCTACAGCGAACTTGAAAAGAGCGCGTTTTGATAAAATCTCTATGTAACTGCCATTCTGAGACGTCGTTTTTCTTGGCCGTCCACACAATTGGAATTTTTTTGAAGGTTTCAAAGCAGTAAACACACATTTTTTGTATCTTTTTATAATTTTTGAAATTTTGCTTTGGGTATAACTGTTTTTATGCAAATATTTTACAAGCTTAGGCTCTTCCGCTGTGCAGTGCTTTGCGAGGCACATTTCTACTACAAATAATACTTACAAACATATGTGATTGTAACAAAATGTCAAATTTTAACAAAATATCTTAAAGATTATATGCTTACAATAAAAATTTTTACTAAATAACGTTTATAATTGATATTTTTATTGCTAGACTCTATATATTGGTCACGACAGCAAATGCACATTTTTGTTTAATTTGAACACAAAGTTGACAGTAAAATGTTACAGAGCTACCATCATGGTGTTTGAAAAGATAAATACTGTAGTAATCGATTACGGGCAAAACGTAACCGCAATTAATCGCACAAAATTTTATAGATTTTTAATTTTTACAGAACCAACGATTTGATTCGATCTTATTGTCAGTAACTGGAACTAACCACTTTGTATAAATTTTCTATAAACTTAGTTGTTTATATACAAGCAAAGTATTATAAAAACGGTTTTCTTTGACATGCATCATACTTTGTCTCTTTGCTACAAATAATTGGCTTAAATGCAAGGAATTAAATTTCATATAATGCTGCCATTTTAGGGTCAAATAAATATTATTCTTTATATAAAAAATCATTAGTCGAGAACGAACAATGGTTGGATCTGTGCCGCAAAATTCAGCAAAAGTCAACACAAGCCAACATTTCGTCAACTTTGCAAACAGCCGAAAAAGCAAGACATTATACCGTGACTGTTAGAATAAGGTATTGATTTTCAATTAAATATATTTGTTTATATTTATCCTCATATGCACAAACACACACATCTATGTATGTACAACATATGGACAATAAGTGAAAGACGCATTATGTGTTTGCGAAAGCCCTTCCCATAAAAGCGAACAAAAGAAATCGCTGGCGTGAATGGTTGCGATTCACTTTGATTTTATTATTAAAAAAAAAAAAAAATTCAAATTCGATTTGGAACGATTCAAGCGATGAATGAAACGCTTCGGTATAAAACAGCAGAGAAGCGGCAACTTAATAAGGTCAAAAGCTGCAAATAAAATGTGGCAAGTAAAAACTGAAAAACAGTGTGGTCAAAATCAAAGTGAAAACACGTTCGCTGGCACACACACACATATACGCATGTACCTACACCAATGAATATGCGCACACAAGTACAAATAACCGCTCCCAATTTGAATTTATTAAGTCATCGGCGAAGGCTGAAAAATTGCGAACGCTTAAAATTTGTATGGCAAGTGTGTGTGTATTAAGCGCAGTCAAATTGCAGATTGGCTCAGGGAAAAAGTTAAGTCAATTCATATATAATAATATATATACATATATATTTGTCATGTAGGCTAAAACAGGCATTTGTAAATAGAAAATAAGTGGCAAGCTTTGTAAAACAAAAAATCAACGTTCGTCGATGACTAACAGCAGTTAGCGTAGCGATCACACCCTTTTACCTTGACAATGAATTGATGTGCAGATGAATACCTACTGTCCATATGTATAACATTTAACGTTTTTGAAATGAACGCGGATTTACACACGCAAATTTATTTATTTTTGTTTTCTATATTTTTTTTTGATTTGTATAACGAAATTTGAAAAAACAAACTGCCCACGTCAGATTACCCATCTTGTCAACCTATTACTTTTATATTGTTTATTTTAATCGAACTGTATATGGAACGTTACAGTTATGCACAAAATAATTGCGCATAATGATGAGCCAAAGTTTATAAATTTTGATTAATTGTATGAGAATGCATACATATATAGAAAACATATAACAATTATATAACAAGAATAAAAAAATTCTAAAATTTTAAAGTTATACTAAAACAATTTTGTTAGTTCATACCTTTAAAAAGAATATATTAAATTTTTAAATGCATATTGGTAATATTTTTTGAGTTACAGCCTACAAAAGTATACTCGCACCTTGCACTTTAGCTTTAACACTCTACTCTTTTGATTGATTGAATTTTGCCCTAACCTGAAAATATAATATTTTCTGATGTATAGTAGAATAGTAATTGAGTCTCAAAGCTCAATGCATAGCAGGATCGTAGGCAGCTGCAATTGAACTATTTTTTTTTTCTATTTTTTATTTTATTTCATTTATTTATTTTTTTTGAATATTCTACTGGTTTACGGTCATCACCACGTTGTTGCCATGTACACAAGCAATTCACAATAAACGATGAGAAAAATTATAGCAAGTTTTAGAGCACGTAAAACAATGTAATGTAATTATTTTCTTTTGCAACAATATAACACACAAATCGACATTTTGATGTTTATTCGCTCGGAATGGGAAGACGTACCTTGCAGGGGTCCAAGCTGCCAGAACAGAAGGTAATCTCAGCAGAAATCACCAAACTTATTTACAGCCATCACAACAAAAAAAAAATTATTTTAGTTTACAAAAAGTTTCGACTACCGACGAACTTCTGTTTGATCACAACAGTAAAAAAAATAACAATAATAATAAATCATTACATTCCGACTGACGCATTTATAAAACAAAATGTAATAACAAAATTATAAAAAATAATATATTTGTATTATTTTGTGCGAGTATTCAAAAAATAAGTTCATAAAAATGTGTATATTTAAATTACAGTTAAATTATTAATTAACCTCGCTTTTGTATACAAGAATTCCAACACAAAATGTGGTGAACCCCGCCATATCTTCCATTCAGACATATTATATTTGTGTTTATGTTGAACTTCTTGCATGCGTACACGTTTGCATTGACATAACGAACTTAATGTATGTGTATATGTGTGCATATTGTTTACTTTTATCATTACAAACAATACCACACCCGCTCCTTTTTACAAATATGAGCATATGCATATAATGCTGACTTTTTTATATGTGAGTATGTATGTATGTACCTTGCTGTACAATTTCCCTCTCTGCTTCGCACCTTCAACCCGCTTCCGTTTGACTGAATACTGCACTCTTTTGCTGCATGCAATTGCATTCAAACACATTCTTCGTTCACACAAACTAATATACATGTATATTGCTGATAACTAAAACAAGCGTGCAATCGAAAAAACGCAAAACAATTGACAGTGAAGTTAGATAAAATAAACAATAGCACACGACAACGAACGCAGTAGGGAAAAAAATACTCCTTTCCATTAAATATTATCTTTCTTTGTTTGACATATGCATAGGACCATATGAGTTGATGCGTTTGCAACACCGTTTTCTTTGCTGTCGCTATGTATGAAATGTCAGCGAAGAAAGCCATATAAATATGCAATTGAATGTGTTTAAGCAGCAATTTTGAACTTCGCGGTAAATGGTGATTGATTGCGTTCAAAAATAATTAATTCATATAAAATATACATGCAGATCTCATCGCGAATTCTTTAGCTTTCCTTTCAAACTTCAAAGAACGCTGATTAAATCTTAATGCTAAATATATAATATGTATATTCATAAATAAATGTATAAAAAACAAAACACAGAGATAATAACGTTTAAACTCGTAAATAATTTTACTCAAACCTACCGCTTTTTGATTGACGGGTCTTCCATAGGTTTTCAAGCTAATGGCGAAAATTCCGATTGCAATAGAATTAGTTATATTTATATATAGAAGAATGCATTGATTTTTTTAATTCTCACTTTACTTTGTCACTCTTTACAAAATTTGTGTAGCAATGTATGTATGTATATATTTTTATAAAAAATTTAAACAAGACACATCATATTAGGTGGCGGCTCAATGTTTAACACTAAAGAAATCATTTATATAACATGGATATTGTAGGTTGGAACCAATTTTATTTTAATTATAACACATTATTCACAGTTTGATAAACTTTTTGCACTGAATATTAACGTTGTTTGCCTGGAATTATTTGGGCGGATTTCACGTTACTTTAGAATATTTTGTCACTTGAGTTGTGCGATTATATAGCGTTAGAAGCGGAAACCGTGAATGAAAGCTATAAGGAGATAATAAAAACAAATCATTTTTATTTTGATGTAGCACATGTTTACAAGATGAAGGTACATGCATAAATTTTACTTTTTTGAATTATTTTCCTTATTTGAATGTTTCTTCAGCATACACATGTATTGAGAGACATACATATATGCCCACATATTTTCTATTTTATTACACTTCAATACAGTTGTACAACAAAAATTAAAATTAATGCAGATTTATTCAATTAATTGATTGATTATTACATGCTAACTCACTATTTGTTATGTGAAGCTGTTGCTATGTAACTGCAACAGAATTATTTCTTTTATAGTTCACAATACTGTAGATATTATTTATGTGTATATGTAGAAGTATTTTCAAGATATTATATATATGTAAGTATACTCGTTAGAAAGAAATTTTAATATTTTATTAAATTGTAATAATTGGAAACACATACCACCTTTGTACTTTGTACGCATGAACTAAAATATGTACACAAATAATTGTTATTTAATCACTGTAAACATGTTAATTTATCACATATTAATACAAAAATTAAATCATTATACATATATCGTCATCGGTGAGTGATCCCAGTATTATTATTTATTATTATTTGCAGTAAAAATCTCTTCTACCCGACACTATCTTTGAATGTATGTACATACCTACATACTTCAAAAACCTCAAACAAGTATGCAAAATTTTATCAACACAAACTTTTAAAATATACGATCTATCTGCATTTTGCGCATAGTTATTGTGCTTTTTATGATCACGATTGTTCTCATTTCTGCCAACGCGCAACCAGTCTGCCTACCCCAGCCAGCCCCTATAACATCCATACCCATGCGAATCAATGTGTTACCGTACGACTATGTCTTTTCTCATATTTCTTCTTTTCTGGTCTCCTTCATGAGCAGGTTTCAAGCGCCGTTGCTGTCGGTTTGGGACTATATGAATGCTTGCGCGCTTGCCCACCTCGAAAATACTAACAGCAGAAATATTAAAATGTATGTATGTAAAAACACAAAAAGGTAGGAAGGAAATATGTACTTAAAAAACTGGTCCCCGAAACACAAGCGAGTGTGGTAGAAACACTGGTGGGCAAAATATTTGGTACACCCACTCAATTAAACCCAATCACTTTATAATGAAATAAAAACTAGAACTTTTTGAAAAATGCGCTGAACATACATACATATGCACGCATATACATATACATAATATAAATCCTATAGTAATGAGTTAAACTTACTAACTTTAACACATTCACTATTTCAATATGACAATAAGCTGTACAATACAATCGTAGTATTTGTTGTACTTATGCTTGCAACCGATTTTTTAATTAGCTTCGGTAATTGCTGTGCAAGTACAAATTGATTATATGAATTATTTACGCCGGTGACTTAAAATGTACACATTTTAGCAATGCCACACACGAACATGAAATAGAAAGCAGATCACCCACAACAAAAAAAAAACTGGCTAACAAAAGTCAACACGGTACACAAGACAGAAAGCAATTCGCACAGATCACCTAACAGCACGCAGCAAAAACGACAAAGTTGAACTTTTGACTCTTTTTTCTCTCCCTTTCATTCCTCGTTTATGGTTGTCTGCACACCTTTTTCGTAGCTTCAATTTTGCTTTATCCACGTTCGGTTTTAACACACTTTGCACATTTACTTTTCCAACACTCTTCTTCTCTGTATTAATAATTTTCTATTTAATTTAACACAAACTCTCTGCACTTGCGCGTCTTACTTTTAATTCTTTCGTAGCTCATTTCCTTGGTTTTACTTTATTCATTCTATGATCTTTCATATTTCTGATATGCACTTTATTATCTATTCATTCTTTACGCTATTCGGAATTTTGATTCTAATGAAAACTTTCATATTTTATATTATCTCCCCTTAAACTTCCTAATTTGTATACACTCGTATCATTTCCCCAACTAGGTAATGAAGTTTTACATACTTTTCTCACTTTCCGTTCATCAAACAATTTTCAACATCCAACAAGTGGCGGCCATATTTGCTTTTTTGTGCTCACAGATCACAACCGATCAATATTCCTTATTGTTGTTTTTGTATGTAAATACCGATTACTGTTGCTGTACTACAGTAGGCACTGTGTTCAATGTTTAGCGTCCAAATACCGCACTTTGAAATTCACTTCACAAATTTTACGAACGTATGATTCTCCCAACGACCGAATGAATACTGGCAAACACTGGCCAATATATGCAATTGGATTAAAAATCACCAAACAATTTCGTATTGGGTACACAGTGTTGCATTTGTACTGCACAAATATTATACAACTAAGAAATCAGTTATTAATCATATATAAATTCAATTCGCAACAGTTATATATTGCGTTAGTTATAAATTAATTGGCTGAGAATTTTTTGCTTTATAGTTGTAAGCTTTCATATAATTATTAAGACAAGTACAGACAAAATTTAATTTCATCGTTGCATCTCTCCAATCGTTGAGCTGTGAATGCAGCCCTAAATTGTAGATACGAATTTGACGTTTATTTCCAACTATCTGTCAAATGAGTTTATGATATTTCTTGCATGTTTGCAATAAAGTAATCATTTTAAAACTTATTGCGAACAACGTCTAATTTGATATAAAATAATTGCATGGACCATGAGTTCGGGTTTCGTGACAGAATCTGAAGCTGTAGAAGCACGTAAACGGCGTCAAGAAGAATGGGAAAAAGTACGCACGCCAGATCAGCCATTGGGTATGCGCAATGTTAAAATTATAAAAAAAATAGCTTTAATTTTGAATAATTAAACTTAGAACGTCCTGAGGAACCATATGATGGGCGATCACTTTTTGAGCGATTAAAGGAGCAGAAAATGAAAAAAGACTTGGAATATGAAGAAGCTCACAAATTGAGTTAGTGCAAAATAAATACAATAAAAATTAATATTAACTAAATTCTTCAAAAAAATTAGAAAACCTGATACGTGGTTTGGATGACGATGAAGTACAATTCCTTGAGTTGGTCGACCAAAACAAAATTGATGCTGAAAAGAAACAGATACAAGACGAACGAAAGGAATTGCAAGAATTCCGAGACCGTGTAGCAACGTTGCAGGAGGAAACTGCTGATAAAGTAATTCTATATAATATTTATTTATATGTGTATACACTAGCACCACTTAACACTACTCCAAATTAATTTATTTAGAAACTTCAGTCTGAAATTAAAACCGGAAAGCTGACGAAAATACCAAACACGGGAACTACCGCAAGACCATCACAAAAGTCTTTACTTGGTCTTGGTATTAAGCGTAAAAATGGTGAAATCGCTTGTTCTTCAAGTGCAAAAATTGGCAAAGATTGCGCTACAACAAACGCTACTAAACTTGGCACACTATCCAACATTAATACAGATCAATTTAACAAAGGACAGCTGAAGTGTGTAGCGATATTACCAGGCATTGGACCCTATACTGAGTCCAGTGATTCAGAAATGAGTAGTGGCAGCGAAGAAGAGCCTGACAATGACATTAGTGCCAAGTATGATTTGATGGGGCGTAAAAAGCAAAAGAAGAAGAATTGCCAAGATGATGATTGATTACAATTTTTCTAGACTTAAGTAGTAAGTGTAACTTTAATTAGATTTATATGAGCATTGGCGTTATACATACTAATCCAAATTCTATTTCCACTACAAATTTGTAGTTGCTGTTAAAACATATTTAATGAAACCACAAACTTTGGAGAATTATCTTCTGTGCGAACACGAACAACGTGTTCACTACAAGCGTACACGACTAGTCTAGACTAGCAGTCGCTTGTTTTATATGAAAAGTTTGAAAATAGCTTTTTTTTCATAAGCAGTAATATTAGGAAGAATAACTAATCCAAATATGAAAGTAATAAACCAATATTCATGAAAAATATTTAATTTATTTTAGATTTTGAAGGTTAAAACAATATGTTAGTGGAGTACACATTTTATTTACATCAATCATGCCTCATTTTTCCTATTTCTATTACGATTTTTCACATTGGATACTTCATAGAAATTACTGCCAATCTTTTTGCGTTTCAAACTGCGCTCTAGCGCACGTTTTTCTTTTGCGCTTAAACGTTTTTTAGCTGCAGGTTTTTTGCCCTCATTATCACTTTCTTCGCCAACATCAGGCTCCACTTTAAACTTTCCAGAAGCCGTTATCGCCACACTCGCTTTACGTTTGATGCTGGCTTTCTTATGCACGACACGTCCCAGATTCTCAACATATTCGTCTTCAGAGTAAAATTCACTAGCACCATCGCTCGACTCTTCTTCGTCATCGGGATTTTGTAAACGTTGCTTTTTACGCTCCAAACGCTCGGCTTTCTCTTTTTCCAGTAATTCTACATCTATTTTGTCCAACTCACGTACATCGTCAGCTTCAAAATCAATACCAACTTTAATTTTACGAAAATCTTGCAGCTGTTTGAATTCTCTCGCCTTCTTAACGGACTCGCTTACGAATGTAGGTGCCTCGGATTTGGCATCGGCATCATCACCAGCTTGTTCGTCTTGTTCCGAGTTTTTCGTTTCATTGATGATTTGCGGCTTATCAGCTTGAGAACGAGGCGTTTCATAACCTTCGGGTGCAACATAAAATGGTAACTTTCCACGCTGCCAGTCATTGAGTACCATACGTGATGTGACAGTTATATCCGGTTCGCCACCTTTCAATAATTTTCCAGATTTTTTAGCCAATTGCTCCAAAAAGTCCATTGACGTAGTCCAGCTCTCAACTTTATATGTTTTCTGTATATATTCCTTACGCACACGTTGTAAAACTGTTTCAACATAATCTTCGGGATTTGTGACCAATTCAACACGTACAACACCTTTCAGCACCTTTTCGGTGTCAGTTTCTGCTGAGGGATAAACCACACCAGGGCAATCGATAAGGAAAATACGTTTCATCAAAGTAATATATTGCCAAACTTTTGTTTCTCCTGCAATGGGCGCAACATTGCACACTTTTTTGGAACGCAACGCATTAATAACGGAAGATTTTCCTACATTCGGATAACCAATGAAACCAACACTGATTTGCTTTTTGTCCAAATGCAGTTTGCCTAGTTGGCGGAAAAGATTTATAAGTGCACCTATTTGAAAGAAAAAAAGCCAAAATTATTAGTTTAAGCCACATAACTAGTCAACACTGCGCTTGAAAATACTAACCCTTGCCAAAAGGGTGCTGCATTGACGCGTGGAAAGCAATCGTGGGATACTCAGCACTTAGTATAGCCACCCAACGCTGCGTCACCCACACAGGCACCAAATCGACTTTGTTCAAAATGAAGAACAAGTGTTTATGCGGCTTCTCTTTGCGTAGAAATTGTTCAATATATTTTGAACGTGTGCCCATGGGATCGCGCGCGTCAAGCACTTGCAGCAAAACGTCAGATGCATCAACTACTTTGTGCAATTCATTCCATATACGACGACTCTGTCCCGCTGCAAATATCCAATCGCGTTGTGCAGCTTTTTCGCCGGTCTCTTCACGAATCAAATCAACATCTTTGTTTTCATCGTAATTATCCGCCTTTAATTCTACGCTACGACTCAGGTCTTCTAAATCGCGTACTTTCAAATTTACGCGTTTTCGTTGTTTTTTAGGGCCGAAAGTGGTATCGAAACTTTCCGTATCCAATAAATGTACACGCTTATACTTGCTCGTCTCATTTAAAAGCGTTATAGGTAATTGTGATGGCTTCATTATTACTTGGTATGGATCTTTAACTGCTTTACCAATCTCATCCTGAAACTTTTGCAATGCATTTTGTGATATAACTCTTGAGTTACTAAACCATTTTGGTGAGGGTTCCACTCGTGCCATGGTACCAGATGGCAAACGTCCCTATGAAGCATGTGTTAGCAAATTTATAGCGAAAATATTAAACATTTAGTTTACCTGGAATGGTGCTGGTGTTATAATTTTTCCTCTTCGGTCACGCTTTGCTTTGAAATTGCGATACATTTGCAAACGCTTAATTGTTGCCTGTGTTCTGGGATTGGCTACCCCCTTCAGCCCAGATTTGGGCCGCTCTGGATTCATCGAGTGATTGGAGCGGTTAAAGCCTTGCTTACGCGGAGGCCCAGAGGCGCTTCGAACTTTCGGCATGTTGCTTTATTTATTAATTAAATTTTTGCGAAAATAAATGTGTTTTCACCGATTGGTTTGGAAAACAAACAAAAATTTTACAGCGCACTAAAAACACAAACACGACACAGCGTGTATAGTATTTGAAAGGAATATTTTAGGTTATGTTTTGATCGCAGCTGATTTTGCAGCTATTGTACTTTGGAGACTTTTACCAATTCTCTTTTGATAGATAGAACGTAAACAGAAATCAGTGATGCAAGAATCATAGATTGGCTTTTTAAATAGTTTATGCAATTATACATATAAATTCAATATATACTTTCAATATTTTTACTAAAACAATTTTTGTAATTTTATCGTCGTCTCTACTATTTCTCATTTAAGTGCATTTTTAACTTTATTGAAATAAACAACCTTCAAGTCTCCTCATTTTCATATTAAACAGCTTTCATTGAACACACCTCAATTTGCATAAATTCCAATAGTTTTCCTATTTGACATTTGCAGTAAATACCATCAGCCCAGAGAATGTAAATTTTGCTTATTAGCCATTTAGTGGAAATGCATTTTAAATAAGAAATTTAGTGAATTAGTAAAATAGATATAGTTAAAGCAATAAATTAATATATTTGCATATAGTTACTTTTGAATTGGTTCGAATTCAAAGCTATCGAAGTTGACTAGTAATTTCACAAGTGTGTGTGTATTTTCCGCCCATTCACTTGACTCGGTTGTCGCGGAATGCATTTTCTCAATGTGTGTATATTTCTGTATAGGGCGATTTGTGAAGTGCTAGGTGTTAAACGAAAACAGCAATAACATCAAACGCAACGAACTTGTCGAGCATTATTAGAAATAAGTTGTATTAGCGGTGATCATTACTCAGTTAAGGCATTGAAATGGAATGTGCTGCGCTCACTTAGATATTTTACAATATAACGAAATGTATTTAAACCTACCATCCTTGAATTAGTTCCATACATATATACATATGAACATACGAAATAAAAATAAACAAATTTGTAAAATATGAAGGCATCTTACAATTTAAAATAATTGATACAAGTATAAGTCTTTATAAACACTAACTAAGAAGTGCCTAAAATGGATGAACATACACTGAATGATTTATTGGAGTGCTCTGTGTGTTTGGAACGTTTGGATACTTCATCGAAGGTGTTACCCTGCCAACATACATTTTGTCGGAAATGTTTAGAGGTAATATGGCTTTGTCAAATTTTCTTCAAAATTACGTATGCATGTAAAAATAAAATTGTATCGTTGTTTGCAATTCGCAGGTGATCGTGTCCAGTCGACAAGAGTTGCGTTGTCCGGAATGTCGTGTGTTAGTTGAGGTAAAAATAGATAATTTACCACCAAACGTACTCTTGATGCGGATACTAGAAGGTATATATATATGCATTGCATTAAATTTTTTTAATATGTATATAAATATATGTGCACACTTTGTATGTATGGTTGTAAAGGCGCTCATTTTATTATGAGGGTCTTAAGAGTTTCTCAATATCTGCACGATGTAATCAACCCACGCACGACCAAATTACTTCGGTAACAGCAATTAAGAAACTTAAATGTAAAGAAATTTGTAAAAATAATATCTGTCTTATATTCAATGTGCTAATGTACCCAGTTGAATAATATTTTTGTTTATGCTAGTTTACTTATAAAATAATAGAAAGCTAGCTAACATGTTGACATATGAATTACTAGTAGCTGGTAATAAATATTTAGTAGTTAAAATTCATTTTTGTTTGCGATATATGTATACAAAACAACGTTTATTCGATAACTATACTCTTTGCAGTGTAATTCCATATAGGTATATTATTATACCCTGAACAGTGTATATTAAGTTTGTAACACACAAAATTATATAACTTCTATACAAACTAATCGATCAAAATCCAGTTGTATGGAAAACTATTTTATTTGACGAGATATGTTCACGAAATTTTCACTTGATTTTTTTCAAGGCAACGGTACAATCCCTGCAGAAATTGTTCAAATTGGACTACTTAGCATACAGCTGCCATACCAACTGACCGTGCAAACTCAAAATAAAGATCTTTTTATACCCTTTTATGCTATAAGAAATGCAGCTGTGAAGGGTATTAGCGTTAACGTACCTTATTGTTTATAATTATACATGTGCCTACATTAATTTTATATTATTTTTTACTAACAACGTATTATTAAATATATTATGAATTAAATTTTCAAATATTAAAATAAATCACTTATAAACGCAATGCAGGCATGAAAAATGCAGCCGCTATTAAAACACAACAACAGCAAAAATCGCACACCTCCAAATCCAGCCCGGATATACGAAATGTCAACGATTATGAGCAGCAGCAACAACAACAGACAATTGAAGCAACCCAAATCCAACAGCAACAGTTAACGCCGGTCAGTAACAGCATAAATGGTGGTGCCCATCCGCCCCCACAACAGTTTATACAACAGCGACGATGTTTGTTGCCACACGCTTATGCACTTTATGATTTCGAATCAGCTGAACCGTCCGATTTGCACTTTAAGAAAGGCGATTTGGTGTTACTTAAGCGTAAAATCGACAGTAATTGGTACGTGGGACAGCTTAATAATGGCAACGGTTACATTACGGAGGGTACTTTCCCCATAAATCACGTGCAAGTTGTTGTACCGTTGCCAACACCGCAATGTATTGCATTATATGATTTTAAAATGCCGCCGAATGAGGAGCAAGGTTGTCTTACATTTAAAAAAGGTACCGTTATACATGTTTTACGGCGCGTGGATCATAATTGGGCTGAGGGTTGCATTGGCAGTGCAATTGGTATATTTCCAATAGCCTTTGTTGAATTGAATGCACTCGCCAAGCAGGTGCTCGAAGCAACTTACCTAGTTACGAATATGTCAACTGCAACATCGACTGCCACGCCATCCATAGATATAGCTGCATTGGCAGCCAATTATACTGCAACAGCTATGGGCAATGCTAAGCAAACAATCGCGCACCAGCTACGCAATCCACCGCCAATGCCACAAATCGATACGAACAATAGTGAATCAACGACGTCATCAGCATCAGCATCGAATTCCTCATCAAGTGCTACCAGCCCGCAATCGGTTAGCACCACAACAACAACTACGGCGACAAATAGCGGCATAGCATGCGTCGGCATCAACAGTGGTGTCAACTCAACATCGATGCCCAGCAGTCCGAATCAGTCACTGCCCGCCTCGCCACAGCATGAATGTAGCAATCTAAATATCGTCAGTGGCTCCAGCTCTGTACGTTTTCGTGATAAACGCGAAAAGCGTCATTCCTTAAATGCTCTGCTCTCAGCTGGTAACTTGCACACAGGTTTGGGCACAGGCGCAACGTTAAGCATACTGCAGTCGAATCGTCATTCAGCGGAAATTTTAAGCGTACCCGCAGAAACAAATTCGGCAGATATTGTGCGGCATATTTCGTGCGGCGGTAGTGGCGAAGTACAAGATGGCAACAATGCTGCGAACGTGGCGGTGCCGCAAAGCACAATCGCACGAGAACAACAGCAACAACAAATGCACACCCAACACATGCAACAAAAGCAGCAACTGCCGCCACAGCAGTCGCAGCAGCGCGTAAACGTTTTAAAAACCAGTGTTGTCCAACAGCATATACCACCAAGTTTACCTTGGGGTTATCTCGCGCTTTATCCATACAAACCACGCAAAAGTGATGAATTGGAATTGAAAAAAGGTAGCTATTTCGATTTATACAAATAGTTTTTAATTATTATTTTTAATATTTTTTTCTTTATTCTTTTTTTTTTTTTATCTAAAAGGTTGTGTTTACATCGTGACAGAGCGCTGTTTGGATGGTTGGTTCAAGGGTAAAAACTGGCAAGATATTACCGGCGTTTTTCCGGGTAACTATGTGACGCCACTACGTAGCCGCGATCAACAACAATTGATGCATCAATGGAAATATGTGCCACTGCAGAGCTCACCGCACCTCAATCAATCCACAATAAAAACCGTACCGAATCTGTTGCCAATTGTTCAATCGCCGTCTGCTGTGTCATCAACATCACAGCGAATTCAAAGTCTACATCAACCGCCCGATTTACCGCCACGTCAAGTGAGCAGCGCATTGCCAGTTTCGTCGGTTTGGACAAAACCACTCGGTCATACGGTTGAGGCATTTTTCAATCGTTACAGCAAGACACATGATATCACGAAAGAGCAAAGCGTTAAGGAGAAGGATAGCGGCAAGCAAAAGGAAAATATGCCAAATGCAGTCGCACCAACAGCTTCTTCCTCCACCACATCCAGTGCGGTGCAGTTAATGAAGCGCTTGGCGCACATCAAATCACGTTCGAAATCTCCAAGTAGTGCAATCGCACGTCAGCAACAGAAAAGTCCACACGCACAATCCGCACATGACTCGTCAACAACAACTACAATCGATGATTCAGCCATTCATAATAAGAGCAAAAATTCCATATGCAATGCCACACAGAAAAGCAACACACATTTCGCATCAGCTAATACACACGCACAATTGCATCCAGTACATGTGCGGTAAGTAATGTAGTTTAAGTTATTTATCATCCTGACCATTTCGTTCTTCCTTCTGTGGGTGCTGCTCTCACCATCTTTAAAGTATACAATCTCTGCTTTATGAATATTTCTATATTTATGTACATATGTTTCACTTTTTTAAATTTTTTGTTTGGTATTTACTTTTTTATTTATTTTGTTTTGTA